AAAAAAAAAAAATATATATATATATATGTATATATATATATATATTAGGTCCACTGCAGTGTTTTTCAATCTTACAGCACACTTGAACCTACAGTTAAATTTATGTGAAACACTTTAATTATGTTGATCAAAAAAAAGAGTAAATAAAAGAATATCTTACTGTGCTTTGGACCTTTTTCAAAAATAATTTAATTAATGATCTTTAAAAATTTTTGCAGGACACCTAGGATTATCTCATGGCACACTGGTGTGCTGCAGCACACCAATTGAAAATCAATGGTCTAGGGTGAGGATTAAGTTGTTTTTTGTTGATTTTCTGTCTGGATGATCTGTATGGAAGTCTCCAACAATTATTGTTTTTGTTGTTGTTGTTGTTGTTTGTGTTTTTTGAGACAGAGTCTCCCTTAGTTGACCTTGGTAGAGTGCTGTGGCATCATAGCTCACAGCAATGTCAAACTCTTGGGCTCAAGAGATCCCCTTGCCTCAGCCTCCTGAGTAACTGGGACAACAGGCACCAGCCACAATACCTGGCTATTTTTAGAGGCAGGGTCTCGCTCTTCCTCAGGCTGGTTGCAAACTCCTGAGTTCAGGCAATCCACCCACCTCAGCCTCCGAAAGTGCTAGGATTACAGGCATGAGCTACTGTGCCCAGCCTCCAATAATTATTGTATTGGGATCCATCTCTTTCTTTAGCTCTAATAAAATTTTCTTTATATATAGATGCTTCAATGTTGGGTGCATATACATTTACAACTATTATATCTTTTTGTTGAATGGACCCCACATATCACTACATAATGAACTTCTTTGTCTCTTTTTACATTTTTATCCTTGAAATATGTTTTACTTGAAATGAATATAGGTACTCCTACTCTTTTTGTGGTTTCCATTTGCATGGAATATCTCCTTCCATCCCTTTATTTTCAGTCTGTTTGTATTCTTATGGTAGATGTGGTCATGTGTTCTGGTAAATGAGATGTAAGTGGATGTATTGTACAACATCTTCTTACAACTTTACTTAGAAGACAGCTGGAGTCAGAATAAAAAGGAATGAGGTATTAATGCACATGACAATATAAACAGATCTTATAGGCTTTATGCTAAGTGAAAGAAGCCAGTCTTAAAAGGTTACATGCTGTATGATTCCATTTTATGATGTTCTGGGAAAAGCAATCCTATGGAAATAGATAACAGAGCAGTGGTCACAAGGGGTTGTGGTGAGAGAAGTGTTTGACTACAAAGGAAAACAAAAGGAATTTTGGGTGTAATGGAGAAGCTTATAGGACGGGAACTCCTCTGACAGTACTTTGAGATTGAATGGCACATTTGAGCACTGAGCAGGAGAGGAAACATTCCTGTTAAACTATTGATTAACTCCTGGGTAACAAATGTGTGTTGTAACAAGGGCCTCTGGATCAAGATCAGTTCCAAAGGATGGAATTTAAGAGTGGGAAATTTCAGACATTGCAGTAGGCAGACAGGAAAGGAACCATGGACAGGTAGTGCCCCTAAGGTTCATCTGAAGCAGTTCTATCTCTATTTATGTTGAACCATCAATGAGATGAAAATCTTTTCTCATTTGTCCATTTCTTCAGGTTTTTTGATTCAGAGCACAGAAGATGAGGACACAAACTCCTGTGCTAACCATGGTTCTCAGGCAAAGCCCCCTGCACGTGAGGAATGGGGTTGCTTGCTTGCAACTTATGCCATTCTGGCCTTCTGTACCACTGGAACTGCTGGCAAAAAATTGAAACAGAGACTGAAAGAGCAATAAAGGAGAATGGTCTTTTTGCCTCGATTTTGAGTTATTTCTTTCTAACCTCCTATCTAAGAGTGATAAACCAACCCCCTCAGTCTTCACAAGTCTTCCCTCCCTAGTTGAAGACTGCCACTGTTTTAATACTCAGACTGTGTCTTAGGCTGTTGGTGCTGCTATAATAAACTACCTTAGAATGGTTAATCAATAAAAAATATGGCTCTAAGCATCTAGCCCAATTTTTTATCTATAAATTTATTGTTTTATAGTTTCCATTAACATTTGAAGTCACGGCTCGGCGCCTGTGGCTCAAGTGGCTAAGGCAACAGCCACATACACCTAAGGTGGTGGGTTCGAATCCAGCCTGGACCCACCAAACAACAGTGACGGCTGCAACCAAAAAATAGCCGGGCGTTGAGGCGGGCGCCTGTGGTCCCAGCTACTTGGGCGGCTGAGGCAGGAGACTCGCTTGAGCCCACTAGTTGGAGGTTGCTGTGAGCTGTGATGCCACAGCACTCTACCCAGGGGGACAGCTTGAGGCTCTGTCTCCAAAAAAAAAAAAAAAAAAAATTTGTTGCTAATGGTTCTGGGGTTTGGGAATTCCAGGATCAAGATGCCATCAGATTCAAGGGCTAGTGAGGGCCTATTCCTCACAGATGGTGCCTTCTGTGTCTTCACATGGCAGAAGGGGCAAAGGGGGCCAACACACTCTCTTAGGTCTCTTTTACAAAGGCAGTAATCTCTTTTATGAGGCTGTAAGGGCTCACCTTCCAAAGACCCCACCTCCTAATACGGTTTAGTTTTCAAAATGAATGGGCGAGGTGTCTCATACATTCATAACATAGTAGACTGTTTCCCCATATATTTGGGGTCCTAAATAATAGTCGTTTCTGGTACAGGAGAGAAGACTTCCCTTCTCCATTAGTCTGCTAACTCAAGGGTCAGTGGAAGCAAGGCAAAGAGGCAAAAGAAAAACTATACAATGTTTTTCTAGTTTTAAGCCACTAGTATCTCCTGAGCATCTTGTAAAAACAGAAACGCCAGAAGGGCATCCTGGAAATCCTCATTCAGCAGATTCGAGGTAAGACCCAAGCTTGTCTTTTTAACAAACTTCCATTGGCTTCTGCTGTACAGCCCTAAATAGGGATATGAGGCACAACTACTAAAGGCACTGGCGAGATGGACGACGTTCCCAGCCCGTATGGGACAGCCCATTAAAGAACCAGGTAAAAATCCGGGGTTAGCTATCACGCATGACACACGGGTTAGCAAGCACTAAAGAACCACGCCACCTGAGTGAGCGAGCCCCGCCTACATTCGCTCTACTTGGCCAGGGCGCAGGCGCCGCTTGTCCTGCCCTGCGGGCCGGCTCTAAGCGCATGCTCAGAAGGGGGTTGCGGGTGGCTGTGCCTGCGCTGGCTCAAGACGTACTTCAGGAGGCGGGGCCGGCTCGGGAAGACTAGGCTTTACTATTTATGAACTCTGCTGCTCATGGTGGTGGGCAAAGATGCTCACCGAGTCTACGGCGGATGACAGAGTATCCCTCCGTGTGCCCTCCTGTGAGGGACTGCGGAGACTGCAGCTGGGCAGGAGGGACTGAGGGATAGGGGCAGAGTTGGCAGAGCTGGTCCCTATTTCTGTGTGGTTCTCACCGGCATCCTCGCTGTCTCCGAATAGCTGAGAAGCGCTAGGCACCTGAGTCGTGGATGTGGCAGCAGCGGTGTCTTCTAGTGATACGAGCCCACTCCGAGTGTTGATCCGCATGGGAAATGGGCTCAGAGCCTGGTCTTGAGGAGAGGGCCGGCAGAGCGGAGCTAGGAGGAGGAGGCTAGGCTTCTGAGGGGTCTGAAAGTGTGTCCCAGGACAGGAAAAGAGCACAGTCCTAGGCAGCAATGCCACGCGCACGGGCGCCTTTTCAGATTTGACAGCCCTGCTCGGGCCCTGCAAGTCTGCTGGGCCTCGCTGTGCGGAGTGGGAATGTCCGCGTCCTACAGGCGGCCCTGGCCTGCTCCCTGCTCCCCGAATCCTCGTGAGGACCGCAGGTCTGTGGCTGAAGGACGATGACTTGGACCTAGTGAAAGGACTCCGCAGGGGCACCTTTTAGCCCCAGCTATGGACTCCGCAGCATCAGGTTTGGCTCCTGAGCGGGCAGAGGGCCAGAAACCCTCCTGGGGAGTTAGGACCGGGCCAAGTAGGAGGAGGACTGTAGAAGGAGGCTGGTGCCCACTGAAGGAGCACAGCCTTAATTCCACTGACTTTCCAGCTTCCTGGGACTGGAATGACTGGCAGGGTGAGGGGATGGCCACAGATGACTTGTCCCAATGGCCAGAGGAAAGGGCAGAGCTAAACTGCACAGGAGAAGAAGGAAAGCAGGAGAGGATTTGCTCTTTTCCTGCCATGGCAGGGAGAGGGCAAACAAACCGGAGAAAGAGTGGCCCTTGGCTAAAGATGAGAGGACAGAAGGGCCATTTGGAGCTTTATCTCCCATCTCCTTAATCACTACACTTAAAGAGTTCTTCCAGCTCTTCTAGTCCAGCTGTGCATAAGGTCAGCAGGGTACATGGTGGGTGCCTCCTATGAGCCCCCTCCCTCAATATAGTGTTTGGGGTACAAAAATCCAGGAGACTCTGGAGGTTTTAAACCATTTCTTTCTAAGTTGAGAATGCCCTGGCCTTCACCGGGTGAGCATTTGGACTTGTGCATTCTTCAGCACACATGCTCAAGGACACAAAACTGGCCAGTGGAAGAAATGGGCCAAATCCCTAGGCTTTTCATCCCCCACCCCTTTTTTCTTTGTGCTCTTACTACTCAGTATGATCCATAGACCAACAGAGGCATCACCTGGAAGCTCTCTAGAAAAGCAGACTCTTGGGCACTACTAGCCCGCACTCACTGAACCAATGTTTCAACAAGTCTTGAACCAGAATTTAATAAGATCTTCAGGGATCCATGGGCATGTGAACTTTGAGAAGTGCTGACACTTACTTTGCTATGCTGCTTGCCTACTTCCATGTTTCTATTATTAGCCTTAACTCCCTCACTGGCCTGTTTGGCTTTACAAATAGTGTGATACAAAGCTCTTTAATGGAGGGGCTTTCAAAAACCTAACAGTGCTTGGGAACATTGAGGGCAGCTTCTCAGAAAGAATTGGCCTCTGAGCTGGATTCCCAAGAATGAGGGGGAGGTCTAACTTCTTCTTGAAGCCTCATACGTGTATCCCTCCATGGCCTTGTCTTGGGCCTTCTTGTGTGGTTGTTAACCTTCAGGCTAGATTTAAAATTCCTTGAAGATCTCAGTGCTTATATTTCCAAAATGCCTAAGAGAGAACTTGTATTTAGTAGGGCCAGTAAGTTACTCTCCACTGGTGTGGCCAAACTGTGGTCACAGTTCACATACCTGTAGTCTGCTGAGGGCCTGTGGACAAGTGGGAGCCTCACACTACTGTGTGAAGGTGCACTTTTCTCTGATGTGGGCAGGCAAGAAGCTGCCTCCCAGCTCCCTTTGATGCACCTGTGTCCCCAGAACTATGTAGGTGACATACAGAGCTGTGTAGGGGTCTCTAGCTTAGGGAGTTAGGGAGCTGCACATGCCATAAGGGTTGCTTCCCTTATGGCTCCTTTTGCCTTCCCAGATATCCCTTTTAAAGACCTTGCTTTTCCTCCAGAGAGATACCCAGGAGAAAAGAGAAGAACCAGTTTATTCCTGAGAGCCAGGCCCCAGGTGAGTTGGAGTTTTCTTAATTTTTTCTCAAAGTGCCTGAACTATGAATACCTTTGCCTCGTTTTCTCTAGATCTTTAGTCACCAAAAGGAACTGACCCCTGTTCCTGCTGAGTAAGAGCTGTGCCTGTCAAGGTGGATTATGGCCAATCTGCCCTTGCATAGGGCCCTCTCTTAGCTTCTTGATATGTACTCACTGGGATTCCTTGGGCTCACTCTGGCTTATTTCTGCAATGAGCACTGCAGTGATTATGAGGCAATGTGACAGAGCCCTGGCCTTGACGAGAGTGTCACAGCCACAGTGGGGAGAGGACTCTGACATCCAGGATGCAGCTGGTTAGGATGTACACGGCAAACAGGGACATAGGCAAGCCTTTCCATTAAGGTTCAGGAACAGGAAAATCGGCCTGTGCGGGAGAGACTGGAAACAATCACGGAGAAGGGGAAACACAGGGGTTCTGAGGATATGGACAGGCAGGGAGGCCATTTGTGACTGAGTCCTGTTCAGATGTTATCTTCCTGCATTCATGAGGAGACAGACTTAATTTCACTATTTATAGGCTATGTGACCTTGGATGAATGTCTAACCTTGCTATGCATTGGTTTTCCACCTATAAAATGAGGATGATGATAATATTAATTGTGATGAAAATAATAATGTTCCTCATTTACTATAAAAAAAGTGCGTATCAGGAAATATTCTGCACAATTTATATATACTTAATCATTTCATCTTTAAAACATTCCTATAAAATGGTTACCATTTTGAAGAATAGCAACCAAAGTACAGAGAGGTAAATGAGGAAATCAAAGAACAGAGAACTAAATTGACTCATTCATCATGGCTATCTAGGTAGTAAGGAAGTTAACTCAGTTCAGATCTAGGCTGTTTGGGTCCAAGATCTTAATCAGTAAGTAATCTCAACCTCATGAAATTGTTGGAGTCTTCTGGCAAAAGGTAATTGCTTAGTCCTTATTGGTTGCAGGGATCACTGATTTCAGAGGTCAATGTGGAGGAAGAACCAGGTAGAAGGCTGTGAATGCCAGCCCGTGGGTTTCCTAGCATTTAAAGTGACAATTTAGTGGGATCCTGGCTTGATGATAAACATTAACATTTTATTTTCAAGCCAAAGGGGGAAACTCTCACCAATTATGAGTTCTTCTAAGTAATTAGTAGAGTCATAAATAGAGTTCAAACCTCTTTGGCCTTGATGTACATCATTCAGCGGTATTGCTGAGTGCTTAGGCTAGTTATGTGTGGTACAGCCCCCAGATCTCAATGGCTCCCAGTCACAAAGGTGTGTGACTTCTTTCTGCTGCATTTATCAGTAGTGGGCTGACTGACTCTGCTGTATACCCTCTTCACTCTGGGATTCAGGCTGAAGGACCAACCTCACTCTTGGATATACTATTCTCGTGGCAGAGGGAAAGAGCAACATCAGCACTTTGGCTCATCAAGCTCCTGCTCAGAAGTGGTGTGTGTTGCTTCTGTTGAAAATCCACTAGCTAAGGCAGGTCATGTGGCCAAGCTTAATCTCAATAAGTAGAAAGCCTGCTAGAGTGAGGGGCCCAAAGGGAAGAGCAGTGATTATTTTAAACAAATAGGTTAGCACTGTGTGTTTTCTTACTCTTAGATGTTCATGTCCCTCTCTTCTGTACACAAAATGCCTTCCCAGTGGTGATAACCCCCATATCTGCATGCAGTCAGAGCATCATGATCAAACTCTGGGATGACCTAACAATATCTATGTTGGACCTGGATGTACATCCTCTGGATCTGGAGGACTATGAACTAAAAGGACAGTTGTCTGAATCCATATATCCAACATACAATAAACAGTGGGGACAGGATGACCATAGTAAACACTCCTATTCAAAAAGGGGAAGCATGGAGGAGCCCAGCAATTCCAGATCCATAACAGTTATCAAATATTTTTCTAAGTATTTGGTCCCACTTGGCTCCTCCCCACAGTTCTTTTTGAAAAATACCTCTTTATTTAGACTTAATTGTAGAACTTTTTGGATTTCTTTGGGATAGCCAGTACTTATTTTTTCCACTCTGAGCAGTTTGGTCTCACTGAAAGGATTTACTGGGAGTCATTTGACAACTGAGCTGACCCATGATTTAGTCCTTGATAATAGGCTAAGTTTTAATCATCTTTTGTCATATAAAAACCTTATGTTTATTGTTTTTTTTCCATTTGAAAATAAACATTGGTTGTCTTCCAACACTGGAAGTTCTGGCATTTCTGTATGCTTCTTTTTTTTTTTTTTGAGACGGAGCCTCAAGCTATCCCCCTGGGTAGAGTGCCATGGCATCACGCTTACAGCAATCTCCAACTCCTGGACTCAAGCGAGTCTCCCGCCTCAGCCTCCCAAGTAGCTGGGACTACAGGCGCCCGCCACAACGCCTGGCTATTTTTTGGTTGCAGCCATCATTGTTGTTTGGTGTGCCGGGGCTGGGGATTCAAACCCGCCACCTTAGGTGTATGTGGCTGGCGCCTTAGCTGCTTGAGCCACAGGCGCCGAGCCTCTATATGCTTCTTATTGTCTTACCTTTTGTTTTTCAAACCAATAAACTCATGAGCCTAATTTTCTTCTTATAATACTTTGTCAAATGTAGCCAGTAACAACCAGCTCATGTTAATGTTATATTTCTAGCCTCCATCACAAGTTTATGCTTATGTTGTTCATATTTCAAGTCATTGAAGGCTATAGTTTTACCAAACAGTTCACCACTATATTTTAGGGGTTGCCATCTTGCCAATAATTTTTCTCACTTTCCAGCCTTGGAGCTGATGTGATTTCAAAAATGAAAGTTTTTTTTTTTTTTTGTTACAGTAAAACCCCACTTTGAGTACCATGTTTTTTAATGTGTCAGTTTAGACTAGTTATGCCATTATAAAAGCAAACCCTCAGAGACTTACACCAAAAGAGGCTCATCTCTTGCCCATGTTATACTCCAGCTATGGCTTTGCCTGCATCTTCACTTGGATCATTCACCATTCTCAAAGTGGAGGGAGAAGAGCAACTGCAGATCCCCCAGTGGGTTCTGAAATCTTTTGCTCACCAGTAGCTCAGGTCTTACCAGTAACTCAGGTCTTTTACTTCACATGTCACTTGAGAAAGCAGATTACATAACTATATCTGGGTTGGGGGAAGGCAGTTCAATCATGTCAGGGAGGCCAGTAGATATTTTGGATATAATCTGATCTGTCCCAAGAGGTTACTATAGCAGTGAGTTTTCCAGGTTTGGCTATTTTGGCTGACTTCTATGCTAATATAAAATTATTTCAACTTATTATTCTATGGAATCAGTATCTGAGTGAGATTTGATTTTTTTTTTTTTTGGGACAGAGTCTTACTATGTCGCTCTTGGTAGAGTGCTGTGGCATCACAGTTCACAGCAACCTCAAACTCTTGGGCTTAAGCAATTCTCTTGCCTCAGCCTCCTGAGTAGCGGGTACTACAGGCACCTGCCACAATGCCCGGCTATTTTTTGGTTGTACTTGTCATTGTTGTTTAGCAGGCCTGGGCCAGGCTCAAACCCACCAGCTTTGGTGTATGTAGCTGGTGCCCTACTCACTGAGCTATATGGGTGCTGAGCCGAGATTTGATTTTCTTATGTTAATATCACTTCTTGAGAGATTTGATTTTTTAATACTTTGGGGTAAAAACAGGAATTTATAGTACTGTTATACTATACTATAGTACTGTCATCTGTTTTGCTTTTTAGTTCATATATGGATTATCATATAATATAAGACAAATGGGAGGTATTATAATTAATAACCTATAGAATGGTTAGAACTTGTAGTGATGATCTGGGATCCTGAGTCTCATGCTCAGCTTTGTAGACTCAGAAACTGAATAATGATTAGGTTTCGGGGGAAAGAATTCATGCTAATCATACTTATAAAACTTTTTTTTTTCTGAGACAGGGTCTCTGTTACATGGGTATAAGGGCAGTGGTGCCACCATAACTCATTACAACCTTCAAACTTTTAGGTTCAAGTGATCCTTCCTGCCTCAGTTTTCCTAGTAGCTGGGAATATAGGTATGCCATCAAACCCAGCTAATTATAAAAAACATTTTTGTGTAAACAGGGTCTTGATATTTCCCAGGCTGGTATTGAATTCTTGGCTTCAAGTAGTCCTCCCACTTTAGTCTCCCAAATTGACAGGATTACAGGTATAAACCACCTTAAAAGGTTCCTACAAAACTTATTGATTCAATATAAATACACTTGATTTACTTTTACTGAATTGTGTGCTGACAGGCAGGTAGGGGATAAATATCATAAGCTCCAAATTATTTGATTTAGCCTTAGCAAAAAATGTCCATAAAATTGTAGGTCACAAATTTCAAAATTACTTTATTAGAAGACTATTGATACTTATGCATTTGAGAATGCAAAGAATGTTAATCTGTTAATTCTAATCAATTCTAATTAAATGCAACTAAATTGAGAATAAAAATCTTTTGACAAATGAGGAAACATTACATTCACGTCCTCTACCTAAGCAGAAACATCTCTGCTAAATCTCCTCAATCCCTGATTATATTTCCTGCTGGCTTGGTGTTGATAGGCATGTAATGGGGCACTGGGTGAGATACCAAGTAGTATGGATCATACAATCCCTAGAACAGTTTAGAGTATTTTTGTTATGATAAAACCCACAACTCTGGAGCACTGGAGTAGCTGGAAACTCTCAGAAATCCTTCTTATAGATCCTGAGGTTGTCCTCAAATGCCTATCCACTCTTCACCACCAGAGCCATGAGTGCACTCCTCAATGGTATAGGAGTGTCTTCTGTGTTTCAGGGCCTGATGACATTTGAAGATGTGACTGTGGAATTTACCCAGTGGGAGTGGGGGCAGCTGGACCCTGCTCAAAAGGACCTGTATAGGGAGGTGATGCTGGAGAACTTCAGGAACCTGGCCTCCCTGGGTGAGTGCTGTGCCTCCAAAGCCTTCCCAGCAGGCCATCTTGATTTCCTCCATGTTTAAATGCCAGGGGTGTCTAGGCCTGCTGGCTGAATTTTGCCCTGGGGTTCTAGAATCAGACATTTGCATTCTCTATGGGGCCTGGAGCTACAGTATTTCTGCTCCTAGTTCTAGGAAAAGTCCTGTTTCTTGCAGAGTTGAAACAGGAAGTTTACTGACTCTCCTCCTCATGTTTCACAATTCTCTGGAGGTTTTCAATACATAGAGTGTTTTTTCCCCTTGAAGATCAAGGTCCAAAGACTTGTGGCCAACAGCACACACAACCATGATCCTTTTCTTTCTTTACCATCAGGGCTTCCATTATCCAAACCATATGTGATCTGCCAGTTGGAGGAAGGGCAAGAACCCTGCATGTTGGAGAAAGAAATCTCAGTAGGTACCCAGTCAGGTGAGTGCATGAGAGCTAAAAAGCACTGCACATTATAAGGCCCTCCTGGGGGTGGGAAGTTTCTCTGAACCCGTGGTCAGGAAGCTGTCCTTTCAGTAGGTGAGGCCACTTGGGATGATTATTCAACTCCAGTATTTTAAATTTTGTAATTATTTCTCATGTCAGAAGAGGGGTCATTCATTTTCTACTGTTTACTGTTTGTACTCTTTTCTGCCTATGTCTTCTGGGTTATTGGTGCCATGCAGCATCACTATATGTCTCACAGTCAATGTTAGATGGATCAACAGTCATATATGGCCAGGTAAGCACCATCTCAGTAGGGTTAAGGGAGTTAATAAGGAATCAAGCAGAACAGTTGAGGAGCCCAGGAATGAAAGGGTTATGGGCAAGGACAGAGGATGTCAGGAAGATCAAGGTAAGGAAAGTACAAACTTGATTAGGCTAAACCTCAACAGAAGTGGTTCCAGGAAAAAAGACTACTCCTTTCCAGCCCTTGATGGAATCTTGAGTCATCTAAAGGTGACTTGACAGCACCTGGTAGGTTCCATTTCTCCTGAGTACTATGTGTAGCCCAAGAACACTAGAAGCAGGTGACAATCTGCCAGTTAGTGTCTTAGGCAAAATCATAGCCTGAGGCCAGAGAGCTGAAGCTTAGTAAAGTGGTGCTTAAATCCTGAGAGGGTAGGCTGGGCTCCATCATAGAAGACTAGAGTATAAGAAAGACAGAAGATGGCTCGGCGCCTGTGGCTCAAGCGGCTAAGGCGACAGCCACATACACCTAAGGTGGCGGGTTCGAATCCCCAGCCCGGGCCCGCCAAACAACAATGATGGCTGCAACCAAAAAAAAAAAAATGGCCAGGCGTTGTGGCGGGCGCCTGTAGTCCCAGCTACTTGGGAGGCGGAGGCAGGAGACTCGTTTGAGCCCAGGAGTTGGAGGTTGCTGTGAGTGTGATGCCATGGCACTCTACCCAGGGGGGATAGCTTGAGGCTCCATCTCAAAAAAAAAAAAAAAAAAGAAAGACAGAAGATGCAGAACTCTGTATTGGTACTTGCTCTTTTTTTCTTTCAGAATGAGATCAAGGCTCTGACTTCTGGATGTAGTCTCATGATCAATGTCTGTTTATTTACAGTGGACCATAGTATGGCTGTGTTTCAGAACATCCAGGGAACTAATTAAACATTCAAGTTCCCTGGAGGCACCTAAAATCTACTGATTCAGTATCTCTCTCAGGACTGGGTGGCCACTGAGACCCCTGGTTAGGTATGGCCAGCCATTTACCTCCTCAGAAGTATCTTTATTATTCTAGTATTAGTATTATATTGTTGCTGAAACATATTACCATAAGCTTAGTAGTTTTAGGAAACACAAACTCTTATCTCACAGGTCATAGGTAGAAGTCTGACATGAGTCTCACATGGTGAGATGCCAAGATGTCCACCACAGGGCTGCATTTCCTTCTGGCTGTCTAGGGGAGAACCTGTTTTCCATTCATCTAAATCACTGGTAGAATAAATTCCTTGCATTTGTAAAACTGAGGTTCTCATTTTCTTGCCAGCTATACAACAAGGGTTGTTCTCAGTTTCTAGAGATTCCCACACTCTTTGGCTCTGATGTTCTTCCTCCACCTTCAAAGCCAGCATTGTTGGGTGGAGTCCTTGCACTATATCTCTATGCCTTTCTAGGAAATGTTCTCCAATTTTAAGGACTCATGTTATTAAATTGGGCCTAATTAAACAATCCCAGATAATCTCCCCATCACAAGGTCTGTGCCTTTAATCACATCTGAAAAGTCCCTTTTGCCATGTAAGGTAAAATAGTCACAGGTTCTTGGAATTTAGGGCATGGGCATCTTTGTCTCTCAAAATTATACAGTAATATGACACATACGTATTTCATAATGCATAATAACATGTGGTATATAGACAGAAATGTTGAGAGAATACTTGAGCTTGTCCCTGAAAGATGTGCAAAGCCTTAGAGAAAGGTCAATGAGAGTAGATGTGGATATATGGGACACAGAGAGGCAGCCAGCTTCTGTGCTGAGCTGCTGAAGAAAAGGGCAGGATCCTGGGTAAGTATTGTAGAGTTGGAGTGAGAAATACAGGATTTATTTTGTAGGGACTGGAGAGCCTTTGAAGACTTAAGACTTAGAAAAAACACAAGGAAAAGAGAATTTGGGGAAGAAGAACATGATGAGAGGTTTTAGGAAATACTAGGGGTAGGAAGACAGGAAATCTTTCACTATTATCTAGGCCTGAAGAGATCATGAGGATGTAGAATCTATACCCAGGTGACTTACAGCCCCATACTTTCTCTGCTTATTTTTATCCCTATTCCTTTAATTTAGTCTTTTCCTTGTCACCCCTCCTACCCTCCTCTCATCTTTACAGTCTGACTTACCTTGTGTAGTGGAGTCTGAAAACATTTCTCTGAGATTTTCCTAATCTTCGGTCACCTGTTCATCTCTTGTTCTTGACACTTCAAAAATCTTCTTCAGTCACAAACCATTCTTGGAAGAATCTGTACACCCATTTCAGATATTATTTTAAAGCTTAATTATTTTACATTCATTATAGGCGTTTAACTTCCTCTTGGCACATAGAACAGGTCATACTAGAATATCTTTTTTTTTTTTTTTTAAACAGACTCAGAGAGGAGGCCTAAAGTCAAGGGATCAATGCCAAGTCGGGGAATTTCCAAAGACGAATTACTCCAGGTAGTATCAGTGGAGAACCACATTCAAAATGAATTCTGGTCCTCCAAACTGAAAACAACACGTGATTGTGATGACCAGTTAGAGATGCCGCAGATAAAACAGGACAGATACCTGAAAAAAATGTCAGCCACTCACAGATCTACCATTCTTGGGAGAGATGAATGGAGTGAATTTGGGAGATGTTTAGGTTTAAGATCAGTCCTTGCTAACCAACACAGTGTTTCCATGGGAGAAGGATCCTATAAATGTGATGAAGAATGTATGCAGACTTCAGAGAGTAATAACGCTCAGAGAACCCATCCAGAGAAAAAATCTTGTAAATGTAATGAATGTGGGAAGTCCTTCCATTTCCAATCAGAACTTAGGCGCCATCAGCGATGTCACACTGGAGAAAAGCCCTATGAATGCAATGAATGTGGAAGAGCTTTTGGTCACATTTCATCCCTTATTAAACATCAGAGAACTCATACTGGAGAAAAGCCCTATGAGTGCAGTGAATGTGGGAGAGCCTTCAGCCAGAATTCATCTCTTGTTTTACATTATAGATTTCACACTGGAGAAAAACCCTACAGATGTAATGAATGTGGACGAGCCTTTGGTCATACTTCATCCCTTATTAAACATCAGAGAACTCATACTGGAGAAAAGCCCTATGAATGTAGAGAATGTGGGAGAACCTTTAGCCAGAGTTCTTCTCTCATAGTGCATTATAGATTTCATACTGGAGAGAAACCTTACAAATGTAATAAATGTGGGAGAGCCTTCAGCCAGAGTTCATCTCTCATGCAACATTATAGATTTCATACTGGAGAGAAACCTTACAAGTGTAATGAATGTGGAAGGGCCTTTGCTCACACTGCATCCCTTATTAAGCATCAGAAAAGTCATGCTGGAAAAAAAGCCATATGAATTCAGCAAAGGTCAAAGAGCTATATTTCAGCTGGAATGCACACACATCACCACCTCTCAGAGAATTCATGTTGGAGAGAGAACCTAAAAGTGTAATGTATGTGGGAAGACCTTTGGTTAGAGGGCACATCTTGTTCAATATCAGACGGTACATACTAAAGAGTATCCCTACAGATTGCAAGAGAGAAGTGGGCTTTGTGAGTGAGCCACACACCCCTCTCTCACCAAGCACTGACAGTACATACTAGTGAGAAACCATGTGAATGTAATGACTGTGGGGAAGTTTCAGGTAGAGGATATATGCCATTCAACATCAAAGAATTTGCACTAGGGGATGGGAGGCTTATCAGTACTGAGTATAGCAAGCCTTTAGTCACATATGGTTCTTTAAAATCCCAGATATATGGAGAGAAATTCTACAAGTATGGTAAGTCAAGAATGCATACTAGAGAGAAGCTCTATAATAGCAGGAAATGGGGGGAAGGCCTTCTGTCAGAGCTCATCCCTTGTCAGGCTTCAGAAAATTCATACATGAGAAAAGCCCTATAAAGTGTTTCTCACATGTGTGTGAGAAAGCCTTCAGCCAAATCTCATTGCTTTATGAACCTCAGAGAACTTTCCCTACTAGTTAGAAATCTAGCATTGTGATGCATGTGGGAAAGCCTTTGGTGGACGTTCCACCCCTTTGACACCAGAGAATTTGTGCTAGAGCAACTCTTTGAATTCCATGAAATTGGGAAAACCAACTAGTATACCTTAATTCTTAACCTCCAAGAGAAACCCTGGGAGCTTAATGAGGCTTAATGAGGAAGATTCCTTTCAGACTTGAGATTCATAAAACTACAGCTGATAGGAAGCTGAGAAATCACCTTATCTGGTGATTTTCTACCTGGTGGATCCATTTGTATAACTGCCCTTATGCACTGCCTGCCATCCCATTGCTGATGGGGCACAGTATTACTTGTGAGGATGATGGAGGCTGAGAAAGGCAGAGAGCCACCTAGCTCAACCATATTTTAAAGCTAAGGAAACTGATGTTCAGAAAGTGCCATGTTCTGGGCCATAGATTCTTTGGTTCATAGTTGCAGTTTGGGAATTGAGAGACTAAAGGCTTTGCCTGTGCAGTACCCCCATGCATTTGTTTTTATGTAATAACATGTTACTTTTCTCTGTGAGGTAATGGAGTAATCTATGTTTGAGCAAAATGCAATTTTATTTATGTCTTCATATTGCTGAATTTGGACATTTTAAAACAATATTTTTTTAGAGATGAGGTCTTGCTGTGTTGTCCAGGCTGTATCTAGACTCCTGGGCTGGAGGGATGCTCCCACCTCAGCTTCCTGAGTAGCTGAGACTACAGGTGTGTGCCACTGTACCCAGCTGAGTTTAGAATGTTTGAAATGAAACAGTGTTTAAACATGAAAATCACTAAAATATGGATACTATGGAAAATCAAAACCTCAAAAACATTATTATAAATTAAATAAGGCAGGTGCTAGGATCATATTATTTATTTTTTAAAGTAAATGTACTTAATGTTAATGTGAAGGTACAAACAACCAGGTCAAAATGTTTGATTTTGTCAGTAGAGCCCCTCTTGTGGTTATGTCCCCCCCCCAAAAAAAATGTGTGCTAAACACACCCACCCCATGCTCATTCAGTGAGAGCACCCCAACCCTTTTCCCCTCCCCTTCTCATTATCCCTTCCCCCAACTCGAAGTAAGTTTTTCTGCTATGTGGGCATGTATCAGGATCATATTACTGTATGATTCCATTGTAGTAACTGTCCAAAAAGGCAGATCTTCAGAGGCAGACCTTCAGAGACAAAGTAGATATTAGTGGTGGCCTGGTAACGGCAACTGATAGCAACTGCAAATGTTATGAGGAATCATTTTGGGACAATGGAAATGTTCTAAAACTGGTGATGAGTAAACAATTTGTCAAATATACTAAAAATTATTGAATTGTATACTTAAAATGGGTGAATTTGGTGGTATATAAATTATACCTAATAAAATCATTTAAAAAATCAAATAGCCATACCAGCTTTTGTGACACTAATTTTCTTATCTTGTTTGTTACTTCAAGCCATCTGTGCACCTTTGTTATTATTTTTTATTTTCTGTAACAATTTTCCCTAAATTTATTTGGTCTAAGAACCTTGTTAGGCTCTTCTTTAAGTCCATACCATGTTGACTTTACATCTTAGGTGGAGAAGCCAAGACCAGGAGCTGGTATAGACTGGACGAGTCTTGCCTAATAAGGATTAGCTTATAGTAGGACAGTCCTTCAAACACTCAAAATTCAGATCAGAAAGCTGAGCCAAGAATTTAGGGAACCAGCTCTAAAGTGGGTCTATGCGAGTGGTTATCAACCTTCTTAATGTCACGATGCTTTAATATAGTTCCTCATGTTGTGGTGACCCCCAACCATAAAATTATTTTCGTTGCTGCTAGCACCACAACATGAGGAACTGTATTAAAGTGTTGCGGCATTAGGAAGGTTGAGAACCACTGGATGGAAACAGATTGATCTAAGAGTCCATCAGGTTACACAAGGCAGCTGGATGTACAGGATGCATCTGGATCTAGAGGAACCTTTACAACTGAAGTCAGAATGCCAGTCGTAGAGCCCAAAACTCATATAGGAATTTCTTCCTAGAGAGCCAAGGTTCACAGGATCAGAAATAGCAAATATTTTATGCTAGTAATAGCTTTGTTTGCTCCATGTCTCCTTTTTTTGTCCAGTGCTTTTCTGACACTCATCCAACTCATTTTATACCTGGATGCTTGCCACAATTTTGTAACTGGACCTTGCACAAAATCCGTCCTTTCCTCTTTTGTATCCCTGCCATGGCAACCATTATGATCAGCTCAAACTCATTGCCCCTGTCCCCAGATCCTTTTCACTGCTTGTAAGATAAATCCCCACACCTGTGTTTGGCATTTAAGGCTATCTTCAGTCTGCCCCAACCTCCTGCTGCTCTGGATAAGAGCCTCTATGACAGATTTACTAGCTGCCTTGACATCCTCAGGCACACCTTTGTGCTTCCAAGGCTGTAAACCTTTAGCTGTTCCATCAGCTTGAGAGGCCTTTTCCACCTACCTTCACCACTCAGCCTACACAGTCAGAACCCTGTGCAATGCCCTCTCCTTGGGGAATTGTTTCCTTGAACATTGGTGTGAAGTTGTATTTTACTCATTTGCAATTGTAAAAGCATTTTTGATTGCATAAGTTATTAAAAATTGAGGCTATCTGGATTTATGATAACTTTTATAAATATCTCGATCTATTTAAATAATTTTTGTTTATTATCTCATCACTTTCTTGTCTTCCAAAACAAACTATCAACTGCTTCAAGCCATGTTGCATACTTCCTCTTCAAAGTGAGCACGCAGCAGGTGCCCACTAAGTATGTGTTAATTTGAAAAATTACTTGCATTGCTCAGGTTTTCTCAGTGTTTCTAATTGATCTCAAATTTTTTGTACTAGATGAAAAAGCTTTTCTTCTAGGAAACTACCAATTAAATATTTCCTTAGAAAAATATGATGTTGCTTCCTGTAGTTATTTTCCACATTCTAGTATAGATTAGCATTGTTCCATCTTTTAGAAGCAAGTTGGATTTTGTGTGTGTTTATATAGGAATTCAGTGCTATTTTACTTTGTAGAATTATAATGACTTCTGGTACCAACTGCACACAGTTAGGCCAAACTTTCTAGGTTAAAACCACAGCAACGGGGTGGTGCCTGTGGCTCAGTGGGTAGGGGACCTGCCCCATATACCAAGGGTGGTGGGTTCAAACCTGGCCCTGACCAAACTGCAACAAAAAAATAGCTGGGTGTTCTGGCGGGTTCTCCAGAGGCTGAGGCAAGAGAATTGCCTAAGCCCAGGAGTTGGAGGTTGCTGTGAGCTGTGATGCCATAGCACTCTACCAAGGATGATAAAGTGAGACTCTGTCTCTAAAAACAAACAAACAAAAAACCACAGCAGCCTACAAGCCTGCCCTCACATCAGATACCAGTCACAAATTCAGGGATTTCTTGGCCACATTCACTTCTGACCAGCTGGCTACTAATTCAGTGCTTCCCACTACCCCTTCAGTTGGATAACTCACTAGAATGATACTCAGAACTCAGGAAAAATGCTATATTTATGACAATCTCATATTAGCAAAATGATAGACATCAGAATCAGCCTAAGGAAGACATGCATATGACCAGTATGAGAGGAGCGTCCTAAGTGCAAAGCTTCTCTTGTCCCAAGGAACATATTACCCTGCTGTCACATTGTATGTGATAGTACACAATGTACTGCCCATCAGGGAGACTCACTTGAGCTTTGGTGTTGAGAATTTTTATGGGGGTTCCTTTACATAGACATGAGTGATCAAATCATTGACCACATAATTGAACTCAATTACCAGCTCCCTCTCCCTAGAGCAATGGTTCTCAACCTGTGGATCATGACCCCTTTGTAACAATGAAAATACATCCTGGCATTAGGAAGGTTGAGAACTACTGCCCTGGAGGTTGAGCTGATTATTACCAGTACTGATCCTCTAGTCATAAGGTTGGTATTTTTGGCATGGCCAGCTACCATCCTGTATTCATTAGCATAAGCTAAAAGCCAACTATGAGTCATCTAATTAGCATAAACTATTAGGTAAGGGGCCCACCATGAATAACAATGACATTTCTTCGGGAAATTTAAGTTCCCAAAGAACTTAAATAAGCACATCTTCCCTCAGAAAAATCAATATAAAAATGATTCAGTTATTATTCAAATAAACAAGCCACAAACATTAAAACTGTACTTTAGACATTCCTCAACAGGCTGGGCTCCATAACTCAGTGGTTAGAGTACTGGTCTTGTAAACCAGGGGTTGCAAGTTTGACCCTCACTGGGGCTTCTGCCTAACTACTAGACATTCCTCAACAAAACAGTTATAGCATCACTTTTGCTTATAGACCACTGGCAAAAACTTAGTTACAGAACCATTGCTAACAGCAAGGCAGCCTGGAAGTTGTCTTTTCC